AAAACCGACGTCAAGGGTATGCAGCAGACATTTTGATATTGGTCAATGCTGACAGCAGGGATGGGATTTTGAAGGAGTATGAAGCAACGACGAATAGGGACACATTAAGAAATACAAAATAAAGATAATGATAAATAATCTGAACGGCGAACTAGCAAATAACGAATGAAGATGACGTTGACATGTTATAAGAAGAGTAAACGAAGAATGTAAGACTTGAGGTTTTCACAGTGGTGGGTCTGAAGATTTCTGTCTTCTGGGTTGTTGCGTTGTGTAGTCTGGTCGATGTCTACCAACGTTTCAGAGGTCATACTGCCTCCGTCATCAGAGCATGAAGATTTCTGTCTTCTGGGTTGTTGCGTTGTGTAGTCTGGTCGATGTCTACCAACGTTTCAGAGGTCATACTGCCTCCGTCATCAGAGCATGAAGATTTCTGTCTTCTGGGTTGTTGCGTTGTGTAGTCTGGTCGATGTCTACCAACGTTTCAGAGGTCATACTGCCTCCGTCATCAGAGCATGAAGATTTCTGTCTTCTGGGTTGTTGCGTTGTGTAGTCTGGTCGATGTCTACCAACGTTTCAGAGGTCATACTGCCTCCGTCATCAGAGCATGAAGATTTCTGTCTTCTGGGTTGTTGCGTTGTGTAGTCTGGTCGATGTCTACCAACGTTTCAGAGGTCATACTGCCTCCGTCATCAGAGCATGAAGATTTCTGTCTTCTGGGTTGTTGCGTTGTGTAGTCTGGTCGATGTCTACCAACGTTTCAGAGGTCATACTGCCTCCGTCATCAGAGCATGAAGATTTCTGTCTTCTGGGTTGTTGCGTTGTGTAGTCTGGTCGATGTCTACCAACGTTTCAGAGGTCATACTGCCTCCGTCATCAGAGCATGAAGATTTCTGTCTTCTGGGTTGTTGCGTTGTGTAGTCTGGTCGATGTCTACCAACGTTTCAGAGGTCATACTGCCTCCGTCATCAGAGCATGAAGATTTCTGTCTTCTGGGTTGTTGCGTTGTGTAGTCTGGTCGATGTCTACCAACGTTTCAGAGGTCATACTGCCTCCGTCATCAGAGCATGAAGATTTCTGTCTTCTGGGTTGTTGCGTTGTGTAGTCTGGTCGATGTCTACCAACGTTTCAGAGGTCATACTGCCTCCGTCATCAGAGCATGAAGATTTCTGTCTTCTGGGTTGTTGCGTTGTGTAGTCTGGTCGATGTCTACCAACGTTTCAGAGGTCATACTGCCTCCGTCATCAGAGCATGAAGATTTCTGTCTTCTGGGTTGTTGCGTTGTGTAGTCTGGTCGATGTCTACCAACGTTTCAGAGGTCATACTGCCTCCGTCATCAGGGCGATGAATGACGAAGAATCTCAAAGAAAGTTTTTGAACATGAAAATAAAAGGAAAACGCCCAAGAGGGGATAACGACATCGAGATGGGAACAGCGAGTCAAGAGAACATGGAAATAAATTGAGGAGGAGGAGGGGGAGTTGTGCGGAGACGGAGAGGCGTGGTTGTCATATTACACATACATAGTGGAAACGTCTCTGGAGAACAAGAAATTCATTTATGTAGTCTGTGCAGTAGTCGTATTAATAGAACCGACAATCTACACAAATGAGTGAACTGTAACCAGAGTATTTTAAGTCGTACGGAGTATGTTTATGTGAGGAGACCTGAACGTTCAAGAGATGTTAGTTAATTCAGGCATCACACTCTAGAAATTTCCGCGTGTTAGTAAACAGGTAGGCCTCACTTACAGAAACCCGTTATCCTGCAGTTAAGAATATTTTATATAGGTTCGCTCACCAGCCCTTTCAGTGTCGGGTTCTAAAATATCTTGGCGTCTACCGCATTCCCATTTAGGCTTCGTATTCTGCGCAGTCCACAATTTGGAAGTGGTCGTTAACAGTGACAGTTATTTTGTAGTTTACACTGTTGAATCGCTTTTAGATTATTGTGCCTTCACGTGTAATTCCAGTTTCTGTTTCCGTAACCAGGCACAAGTGTTCTGTTGGTGGTGGCTCAGCGATTTTTATAGACTTGTGCGGGAGTTTTGTAAGTTAGTTGTGGAGCAAAGTGTATTTATCCTGGATTTAGTTAAGCGTTTCGAAGATTAGGAAAAGAACCACAAAAGGATAGCTAGACTTTAATGATTAATGTTCTGAGGGAATATTAATATTGTCTTGGCATGTCGACCAGTGCGTTCGTATATGGAACAGGCAGGACAGAAACCACTGTCAACACAAAGGCTGTGTGGAACCAAAGTGCGAGACGCGTGTGTTAAAATGATGGCGTCTTTTTCTCACGGGACAGGCACAATGGTTACAGCAGGGGAGTTTCCATGTAAGGATTCTGGAGGACTCTGACGTGGGCGATACCTCACTTAGCTTCTTGTTTGTTTTTACCGGGTGACTCAGAAACTTTGTTTTGGTTATTTCATTTTAGACTACTTTATTTTCCCAAACAAAAGAGTTGACTTGTGAGATGTCCACGTTCGTGTGCTCATTTAAATTGTTAATTAAATGATTAGCACGATGTTTCGAGAGAACGTTTTGCCATTGGAGATTGTACCATTCTCGTTTATTTTGATTTACTGTTGTCACCAATAACAGGGAACTAACTTCTGAGGTGGAAGCGATGAGCTCCACATTTAATATGGTGACTTTAAAATAATGCGTGATAATAGGTCTTAGAAAATATGCAATGTATGTTAAGAGAATCTTTTGTGAAATTTATGAAAACTGCTGCAACAGGTAGGCCCCGCTAAAATGTTAAGTTTGACAGCGATTACAAATTTCCTATTTGAGAACGTGAAATCCTGTATAAAGGTATTGTAACATTTCTATAAATATACATTAAATGTTGTTTATGGGTCAACAGTTATAAATTTTTGGGTCATTATTGAACGGTTACAACCATATCAATTTTTGTTATAATTTAGATAACTTAGACTGCCATTTTACATGAGGGACTTGGCCGGTTTGTGTAGCACGTCAGTAAATATCATGGAAAAGATGTAGAGTGGGTGACGTCAGAGCTTCATCCTTTCATTCTCGCGCCATTAGTGGGATCTTGTCCCGTCCCCTCCTTTCCCGTATGAGAGAGAGTCTCTTAATTCTTGTTCTCACGTTTCATGACTTGGATATGTAGGAAGTTCGTGACTCAAGGGCTCTGATTCACGAACTGTGGTGAGGAGGCATTTCCGGGCACTTGGAACTGCAAAGAAGTTCGGTGGCCCTACGTCACATGGCTGTACCCGATCACACAAGTGGACTTCGTTATCATTTAGACTTCTAGCCGATCGGGTCAGGAATCGAAGATTCCGTCAGGAAGATGATGTGAATAAGACATGTAATGCTTATGGAGTATGGTTCAACATATTGGACCAAACTCCTTGGAGACGCAGGAAACCGCTGATATTTAAATTGATCGTTGGAGGACAAAGAGTATGTGAGGCCAGGAAATGGATTAAACGGCTGGTGATGATTGAAAAGGTGTAGTCCGTATAGGAGTACACAGTTTTCTGAATAATCTAGCTGATCCGAATAGCTTTTATCACTAAATAAACATCAGTGTGATTACACGTTAACTTCTGTGTTTTAGTTCTGATATTTCATCTGTTTGCCGGAAACAGGTTGTTGAGAGGATAGTTTTAGTTTTAAATAGAGGGCCTGGACCTTATGTTTATGTACGTATACAAAGAATCCAATACATGGAAGGTGTACATTAATGTCAGATAAAAATTTTAACAAAACCAAACCTGTGTAATTTTTATTAGACAGAAGACTTTCACTGAAAGTTTAGAATTTATGTTCTTAATATATTTGTACGTCGGTCGTGTTGTTACCAACTGTATGAAGTTAAACAGTGTGAGGTGGTGGCCTACAATTCCAAGTTTCGTAAAAATCCATCCACCGGTTATCGAGTTTAAACATGCAAACATATAAACCACTGTACCAGACATATCGTTAAGGAATGTATGCTTTCGGACACTGTCTGGCGTGTGTTTAAGCCAGTCACATGGAGACTATTTAAGTCATGTCAGGTCGCGTGCAATCTCTATTACTATAGGCCTAATGCTTTACGAATGGTCGGATATTTAAGCCCGAACTAACTTTTTTACTTTCTGTCAAGCGGCCATACTTGAAGCATCTCGTGTGTGAAGTTTAATGTCACCCGCGGGATGTGGGAACATGACGTTTCAGATGAGAACGTTCACAAGCCGCCACTGAGGAAGTAGGAAGTCCCGCGCTGTTGTCTTCGTAACGGAACAAGTTGCTAACGATGAGAAGGTTTTATCAGCCAGCGACTGTCGCATGTTACAACACTTTTCAAAAAACTGTCGTAATACCACGACGTGGAGAACCGATACAATTTTAATTTAGAGGTAGTATCTGACGGCCTGTGACCGAATGTTTTCAGATATGGGTTACGCGTAGAGATGACATTTTGAGAGTATCGTAAGATTTTTGAAAAAAAGGCCCACAGATGTTTTATCGCATTTCCCCCCTCAACATTACATGTAGCGTAAGAGGCTTTGTTGCGATAGTAAAAAAAGTAAAGCTGTCCCACTATACGCCATGTAGGCGCTTGGGGTGAGAGGAGGTATAGCTCCTCTCTTCCCTGACCTCGGCACTAGATGGGGGTGAGTGGTCAGCGTCACGCCCCGGCCGGCTTTACCCCCGGGAAAGGACCCCGGTACCCATTGTAGAGGAGGCTGGGTGGACCCCAGAGCTGGTCTGGACGCAGAGGCTAGAGGAAAAATCCTCTGCCCCCGTCGGGGATCGAACCCCGGTCGTCCAGCCCGTAGCTAGTCACTATACTGACTGAGCTATCTTATACTTAATCGGGTTCGTCAGGTCTGTGTTCTGACGAGTAACACATCGATAACACTGTGGAGTCCGCCTCGTTACATTTAAGAAACTCCCAGCGTGTCGTTTAGTCGTAAAGGATGGGTTCTGCCCAGTGGTCGAAGTAATGCATCAGAGGATGCTTCTTTGTTCGCAGGAGCTGTTCTCGCAGCTACAGTTCAGCCAGGAGAGCGCGTTGCCTCCTGACGCGTTGCGCAGGGCCCTGGCTGAATCCTTCTTTGACCAGCAGCGCTTCCAGCTCGGGTTCATGGACGACGCTGCGGAGTGCTTCGTGAGTAGTAGTTTACTTGTAACTTAAGTGAAGCCATCCTAATCCAGTATGAACGTCATAGTTTAGTCAGTAGAATGATTAATTATCATAACCCTACCATGATTCAGCTGAATCCACTACATTGGTTGAATTATTAAAATATCTCCATCACTGGATCGCATTATGAGCTACCTTAATTCAATCTCTAACACGTATAATGTAAGCCAGTAAAATGTAACATTGCCACAGCAGATGGATTACATCCTGAGCCAGCCGAATCCAATCGTGTTGCCCCTGTAGCTCAGCGACAGGCTGCGGGCTGGGTCCAGTGCTCCTCATTGGCTTTGGAGCTGTTGTCTTCAACAGCTTCCCATCCAGTCGTTTATCATTTATCGCAGTCTGGTGCTGAGGTTTTAAGAATTCGAAGGGTTTTAGCTCCACACGTCCTTTACGCCTCGGTTGTTGGGCAGATCGTACACATTATCCTTTGTCTTGTGCAGGAGAACATCCTGTTGAGGATCCACTTTCACATCGCCAGTGGCGAGGCAGAGGACATGTGTAGCGCCCGCCACTGCATCCCACATCAGAAGTTTGCCATGACTCTCGTGGAGCAGAGTGTGTGTGGTGCGTGTGGAGCCACCTCGGAGCCTCTCCCCTTCACACAGGTGGGTACGGAGACCAAACAGTGCTCACTATTTCGCCCCGGTTTAGATGTATGAAGCAGGATTGCAGTAACAGGCGATCATGGTTATCGACAGATTAATCATAGAGGAGAATAACGTGTTATTACAGCAGAAACCACTGATCCTCATAACCCTACTTTTTTACTATCTAAAAGGATGTTTTTTTTATTTAAATAGCGTCTGGAAAAAAAATTGTACCGAACAGGTTACCTCAGCGGTAACGTGCCTGATTTGAATTCGGGAGAGATCAGGTTAGAACCATGGTCCGAGAAAGGGATATTCCTGTAGATTTTTCCTGTTTGATACTAGTTTTTCCACTGTATTGAAATCATGCCATTAACTAGGCTTCCCTGCTAACATGTTTTGTGCAGAACATTCCCTCTTCTGTGCTATGACCTGAACAGAAATAACTGTTAAAGCCATTGGCTATACTCACCCTCACCTGACCAATACCTGTTCTGACACAAGTATCCCTTTACCTGGACTGACAGCATCTTTTTCCCTAAAAGGGGGAGCAAGGTTGCATTATTTCCACCACAGAGTGAAACTTTAAGGACTATTAAGGTTAGGGAGAGATTTTGAGCTCTTTTTTGTATGGTCTCTTCTGAAAGAGCTGTGGCCTATTGTACTTGTCCAAATAATCTCTGAATCTAGAGTCAGGTCAGGTAAACTTTTAGTGGTACTGGCAATAAAATATATACCTTCTTTACAGACTTTCCTGGAGTCTCTCATAGGTTAGGTTTCCTAAAGAGCAATTTTCTGTTACAAGTAATGATCTTGTGTAAAAAATTTAAAAACATATTTTTACATACAAATACCTCTGAAGCCTTAGTAAACTTTTACCAGACTACATGGTGCTACAACTACAGATCTACTACACTATTGGAGGCAGTATGACCTCTGAAACGTTTGTAAATATCGACCAGACTACAGAGCGCAACAACCCAGAAGACAGAAATCTTCATACTCATCGCCCTGATGATGGAGGCAGTATGACCTCTGAAACGTTTGTAAATATCGACCAGACTACAGAGCGCAACAACCCAGAAGACAGAAATCTTCATACTCATCGCCCTGATGATGGAGGCAGTATGACCTCTGAAACGTTTGTAAATATCGACCAGACTACAGAGCGCAACAACCCAGAAGACAGAAATCTTCATACTCATCGCCCTGATGATGGAGGCAGTATGACCTCTGAAACGTTTGTAAATATCGACCAGACTACAGAGCGCAACAACCCAGAAGACAGAAATCTTCATACTCATCGCCCTGATGATGGAGGCAGTATGACCTCTGAAACGTTTGTAAATATCGACCAGACTACAGAGCGCAACAACCCAGAAGACAGAAATCTTCATACTCATCGCCCTGATGATGGAGGCAGTATGACCTCTGAAACGTTTGTAAATATCGACCAGACTACAGAGCGCAACAACCCAGAAGACAGAAATCTTCATACTCATCGCCCTGATGATGGAGGCAGTATGACCTCTGAAACGTTTGTAAATATCGACCAGACTACAGAGCGCAACAACCCAGAAGACAGAAATCTTCATACTCATCGCCCTGATGATGGAGGCAGTATGACCTCTGAAACGTTTGTAAATATCGACCAGACTACAGAGCGCAACAACCCAGAAGACAGAAATCTTCATACTCATCGCCCTGATGATGGAGGCAGTATGACCTCTGAAACGTTTGTAAATATCGACCAGACTACAGAGCGCAACAACCCAGAAGACAGAAATCTTCTACTACAGAAAACATTAGGACTACTACTTAATTTTATTCGTTTTTGTAAATTTGGCAGCAAAATGAGGGGGAGGAAACTGAAAGAATGTATGCTGTTCTCTGTCCAAGAAGCAGCGTTGACTTTGTTGTTTCTGATCGATTAGATGGTTCACTACGTGTCCGCATCTGCGCTGACAGCCCAGGCCCGACAGAATCCTCCAGGATCTACCCATCCAGACATGTTTGGACAGCTTCTGCGCAAGGCAGGAGGCATGGGCGACATCAGAGACTGTCCAGTGAGTAGATTTTATTTAAAAGTTAAATTACTACTACTGTTGTTGATCCATTTACACATTACTATGCTGTCAGGTATTTCCAAAACAATTTGTAAGGCCCGGAAGTGATGATGTTAAGTTGTGGGATGAGAACTCAAGTACTGTAAAGAATGTAGCAAAAAAATATTTTACAGGATAACAAAGAAAATGTTATAAATATAAATCCAAGTACATGTAATGAATACAAAATTTGCAACAAAGTCATAATTTTTATAAAGGTAATACAGTAAGTTATTCAAAAAATATTTAATAATTTAAATGTCTTGGCACAACAGTAACACATGGAAATTAGTTTTTATGATTAAATTAGAAGAATAAAATTACAACAATTAAATAAGTAAATATTGATTCAGAATTGAATGACAAGTGTGTACTTTATTCATGCTAAAGTGAATTAACAGTGTTGTTAATCATTCGTTCCACAGAGTGCATGTGGGGCAAAGATCCAGATATGCAGAACATTGATGAATCGGCCAGAAATTGTATCAGTGGGTGTGGTGTGGGACTCTGAACGCCCAACAATAGAGCACATAATGGATGTGTTTGCAACAGTGGGAACATCTCTACGACTCTCTGATGTGTTCCACAGTGTTGTAGACCATAGATGGGCTGCCATGACAGCACATTCTTTGGTTGGAGTAGTCACCTATTATGGCAAACATTACTCCACCTTCTTCTTCCACACCAAACTCAGGGTCTGGATATATTTTGATGATGCTACCGTGCGTGAAATTGGCCCTCGATGGGAGCAGGTGGTCGATAAGTGTCGTCGTGGTCGGTATCAACCCCTTCTGCTCCTGTATGCAGTCCAGGGTGGGACACCAGTTTCAACAGAAAGTGCCCCAAAATCTATTATCCCTGTCCCAATATCCTCTCCCAACCACAGAGATTCTACCAAGTCTCCCCACATTTTCCCTTCACAACCCACATCAACTTCAACCCCTAACCAAGGTCCAGCAATCCGACGCTCAATAACTCCGAGCCCAGAGAAGTCCTCCAATAATTCAGCACCCAGGAGGGCAATCACTCCAAACCCTGAGGGTCCTCATCACCACTATAATCCGCAGAGACATCAGCAAATGCTACCTAGACCCTGCAGTGACTACCAGAATCTGACAGACATACAGGCAGCGATCTTCAGTGGTGACAAGAACCAGGGGATGGATGTTGTTGATGGAGACTTAGGCAGTGGAGCGCCCGGCTACATCAGCCGCAAGACAGTGGAGAATGTGCTGAGCTACCAGCAGAAGAAACACCAGATGGTGCAGAGAAGCAACAGCGGAGGGAGTTACACAGGGCACGTTTCTACCTCAGGCAACTCTGGAGATGGCATCGCCATGCCAGAACACTTAAACATCCCAAGGAGAAGGGACTCTGGCAACTGGAGTGGTGACAGAAACAGTGCATCCTCATCGTCATCAACATCAATGGAAAACCCTTACCTATATATTGTTGGAAAGATGGGGCCACGTATGATGTCTCAAAATGGTCAACAGCAACAGCAGCAGTCCGCAGTGCCCAGGAGTCCAACAGGAATAAAGCCTGGGGATCTGTCCAGTTCAAGCAGTGGGCCTTATGATGCAGGTTATGATTCTTACTCCCTGTCCTCCACAGACAGTTTGCCGCTTCAGCAGGGCCTCAAACACAACTTGCAGGTAAGTTCTAATAGCTGCTTTACATTCTAAATACATAGATCAGGTAAGGAGAAAAGTACAAATTTCTTTAAGAACTCTTCTACCAGAACTAAAAACTGTTTATACGTTAAACAAGTATTAAATCATTTTAGGATTCAGAAAAGATCTGATCATGGATATTGTAATCATGACAATTTTATTTTAAGAAATATGAAAATGGTGTCAGTTTTATGGTAGAAAATATACATCATGCCATTCCACAACCTTTGTACATTTAAAATTTCTTATCAATAATAGTGGCAGTCATGTGAATTTTGGAGGTAGAAGTTTTGTTAATTACCATTAAATGCAGGGTCTGTATTATTGGCATTGTAATAAATATTTGAAATGCAGTGTGTGAATCATTGGAGTCAGGTGAGTGAAATTCTGTATGAAGATAGAAATGTATAAATTTCACATTAAGAATTTTTATATGTTAAAAAATTAGAAACTTGGTTTTGGTGTGAAACTATCAGGTCTTCTTCTTCTTCTATGGCTCTTGGGTCCGTATTCGGTCCATGGCCTCCTCAATTCTCCTCTTTCATTAGGTCCTCTGTTAGGTCCATTCTGTCTGAGGCTTTGATTGAGGTTTCGAAACATCTTCCTTTTTAGGGTGCAAGGTTGTTAGCCTTGCGACCAACCCCCAACCTGGAGGACCAGGGTACCTGTCTTAGTCTGACCTCTCCTCCTCGACCAATCTGAAAATTGTTAATGTCATTAGAGTTTGTCTGTATGAGCCGGAAAAATCCATAGAAGTGGATCACTAAATTGTATAATTATAAATTTAAGCTTTTTGCTAGCCTTACCATATAGAATGAAACATTTGACAAAAATTAGGAATTGTAAGTTCTCTCCAAATTATTTTGTTACATACAAAGGCTGCCTCAATAAGGCTGAATATTGCAGCATAGCAAGTGGCTCTCGAAGGTTTTATTTAGAAGGTTTCTGCATTGGGCCTTTGTTAAGAGACAGCTATCTTGTGTTTTTCCTCAGTCACTTCATTGAAACTGAGGGTAATATCTCTAAAGCAGGGTATGGTAGCTTCCTCTCACGTGATTCACATCTGCCATTGCAATATTTGAATTTACATCTTTAAATTAACAAACAAGATGCACACACACACAGGTTTTAAGTGTGTGTGTGTCTGCATGTGCGCACGCGCACATGTGAGCGAGTGTAAGTGAGTCATGTTTAGAAAAATGTGAGAGCTAAAGGTGGGTAGATAAACTGGTAGCTCGCAAGAGCAAATGGATAAAAGTTCTGAAGAGAACACTTCATTGTCCCCACAGCTGACGCAGATACCAGAAGGACTACAGGCAGGTGGGGTTACAGGCTGCTTGTACCAGCAGACCAGAGTCCCTGCCACGGGAGACGATTGCGAACGACTATGCCTCGAGGCAGACCAGCTGCTGGACAAGTCCCGTGCCACCGAGGAGGCCTGCGACTTAGAGACTGCCCTGGTCCTATGCCATGCTGCAGTTGGCAAAGCAAGAGCTGCCATGGATGCGCCATATAACAATCCCCAGACACTAACATTTGCACGAATGAAACACAATACCTGCGTAATGAGGGTCCGGAGTCTGCATCGACGATTGCTGCAGACACAGCAGGACATTCAGAGCGATGGGATTGACAAGAATGGTAAGCAGTCATAATACTCGTTACAATACACCAGGTTCTTTCTTGGTAACCACCTATGAAGTGATGTCCTTGGTAACATTTCACAAAACAACTCTCTTCTTTTCTGCCGTGTTTTCCAGTGTGATAATGATCTCTGCTTCTTCCTTTTAGTCTCTCTGTTGAAAAAAAAAACTTCTTTCCTCTTTTCACACTTTTCTTTATTCCCTGTTCAGTACATCTTTCTTCTTGCTACTGTGCTCATTGCTACTAACAATCCCCTCTCAGACACAGATATTCAGATCCCTGAATTCTTCTGTCATACCCTGAAGCATTGATTTCACATTTCCTCTTTAAATCCCCTGTGTTCCTGTTTCTAAACCTTCATGAAAAAATGATGAATGGATAGATGATTATGATGACAAATGGAAAGGATAGATGATGATAGTGGAAGAGTAAGTGATGAGGTGGAGAGAGGTTGAATGGATCATGATGTGGGCGGTATGAAGATTGGACATGGATGGATGGTTGGTGATGATAAGTGAGAGAATGGACAGTGCTAAGTGGAGTGAATGATTGCTGAATTGTGGTAAATGGATGATGATGCTTATGATTGATGAATTTGCTGACTGGATGTGTCAGCAGTGAGGGATTGGTAAGTAAATTATATCAGAATAATTATGATTAATTGATGATATATGCAGAATAAGATTGAATATTTTGTAATTTGTCAACATAAGAGCAACCACCACTGAGGCTGTAAATTTTACTTAGCAATCTGATATCCAAGATTAGCAAAAACAGAGATTCACTAAATTAGATTATGAGCAATTTCTAAGTGAAGTCAGTTAAAAATTAAAGCTGTTCTTGCAGCAACTTTTCAGTAGTGACTGTTTAAGATAAGGTATTCGCAGTGACATGAAAGCACACCAGTTTGAGCAGAAGGGATATTTGGTTTTCTCTTCCAGAAGGTGGTCTTGAAGTGCGTCACAGCAGAGAAGGTAGTGGTGGGAGTGGCAGAAGCTCCAGCAGCAAGTCTGGAGGTCAGCATTGTCGACAAAGTTCAAAGGACAAGATGTCTTTGTCCCAGCATTCTCGACAGAACAGTCGTGAACTGCTGACACAACTCCCAGCAAATGGTATCGCTTCAACAACTGACAAGCCTTCAAAAAACATTGAAATCTATGCCACCTTACCAAAGAAAAGGGTGGGAGGAACTTACCGTGGGAATAAAGCCCGGACAAGCGGTGACAATGGCCATATTGTTGAAGATGAAGAGTATTTATTGTATGATCGTCCTGGGCGGGAACGGAGCCTGTACAGTGGCAGGACACTTCTGGGAAAGAAGAAAGAGGATGAAAGAAATGCAAGGGAAAAGAGAGCAAGAAGTGAGGAAAGGAATAAGAACACAAGAGATTATACTATAGCACCAAGTTCTGTCTCGTCGACTCTTCCTAAAGATGGGAAAAAAGAGAAAGGCAAAGTTGAGGAGGTTTCCAAAAAAGCAAGTGGAAACCCAGCAGGTGAGGCAAAACAAGGGAAGAAGCAACATAAGATACGCAGAAAGTTGCTGATGGGAGGTCTGATCAGGAGGAAGAACCGTTCTATGCCGGACTTGCGAGAAGGCCAGGAAAGTGGGGAAGGTGTAGGAAGAACTGAGTTGGCAGTAGAGGTGAAGAGTATTGGTGCAGGTGTGAAGGCATCCAAAGATGATAGCAGTGTTGGCCTTAAAGGTGTTGATAAGTCTCCTGGAACAGGCACCCTAAGTGGGTATCTGTCAGAAGGCCACTTGGAGTATACTGGTAATGGGAATCCCAATCTTGAGCGGAGCAGACTCATGAGAAAGAGTTTCCATGGTAGTGCTGGAAAAGTTCTCCATGTCCCTAAGGTACCTCCTCCTCCTCCACTGCGTACAACATCGCAACTATCAGCCAAGCCTGATACTCCATCCAGGGATAGTTCTGGTAATGAGAGACCACAGTTTCCTTTACCACCAGAGACCAATTTTCACCCTGCATATTCCCACTTCCACAGACCTGGACAAACCACTGAAGGCAATAGAATTTCTCATAATCCTTCAGTTTCTCCGTATTACAACTTTGAGCCCCAATCGTTACCTTACCTTCCCACCTACAGTTCAGATATGAACCATGCTCAAGCAGTGAATGAATATTTTTACCAACAGAAGGTACAGGGGGATGCAGTGATGTATGCAAATGGTGGAATACTCTCTGATAGCCGGGCCCAGCCCTTGCATAGTAATCAGCTAGTCACACAAGCAGAAGTTCACAATGAACTCAACAGCAGTGTAACACTGTATACATGTGAACAAAACATCAATGAAATACAGCAGGACCCAGGTGATAATGTGCCTAGTAGTTCTCCTGCCACTTTGCCCTTGCCTCCATATCCAAGTCCTCTGAATTCAGTTTCACATTCCAGACAAGCAAGTGAAGATTTTCCACCTCCTCCACCTCCACTAGATACTGCAGTTGCAACAGAGGCTGTGAATAAACTCGTAGCATTTGGCGCTGAAGAATCCTTCTTGCTGAATCGTTCTTCATCACCACAGCAACAGACAACTCCTAGCAGTCTTCTTCTGCAGCTCCAGCAGAAGCGACAGCAGATTCTAGCAAAGGATATGTTAACGTCAACAACAAAGGAAATGGAAACAGAGGGAACTTCATCAGGTAAGTCTGGCGAAGAATGGTTGAAAGAACTTCAAGCTAAACAGGCAGAACGAAAACTGAAGAAACTACAAAGTGGTGTGGGAGATGCAATGAACAAATCTGGACAGCAGGATAATGGTTTCAGTAATGGTGCAAATTATGACAAGAAACCATCATCAGTCAAGGATCTGGCATCAAGATTTGAAAATATTCGCCTTCACAAGAATCAGGTACCTGTGGGCAGTGCAGAGTCTGATGTTAGACTCATTAAAACTATTACCAACTGTACATCAAAAGTTCCTGTAACAAATGGTGCTAGTGGTAGGGTGTCTCCTTTCCTTTGCCAGGAACAGACTACATCCAGTTCACAGCCTAATGTACACCTGAACTCAAGTTTTGACTCAACTACAAACTTTGTGACAAACTGCCCACCTAATTTACGTGAAAACCGTTCAGACAGTGTGTTTGACACTGGTGTTCTCTCTGTTAAGAAACGTAACAGTGCCAGTGGTTCATCTGTTGAGTGTTTGTTGCCTGTAGGTGGCAGTGCGGTGCTGCAACAAGAAACTCGTGACCTTCCATTAGCAACAGCAAGTGAGGAGGTGAAGAAAGAGACATCATCACCAGGAACAATAGAGACCAAAGAAACACGAAAGAAGAATGGCAAGAAGAAGAATGTGACTTTCTGTGATCAGGTGATCCTTGTTGCAACTGCAGAAGACGAGGAGGAAGATAATTACATCCCTAACCCAATCCTAGAGCGTGTTCTACGGTCAGCATTCCATGGTAAGCAGGAAAGTCCGCAGCAGCATACGGAACCCCACATTGAAGTGCGTAATCTTCAGGGCTCTGAGCTTCACTCAGAACCATCAAGGTCAACAATGATTGTGAAGGAAAACTCTTACCAGTCACAACAGCAGAAAGCAGAGAATCCTCAACAGCCATATCAGAAAGTGCCATTGCAACCTACACATAACATCAGCCCGTGCAATGCAGTCTACCAACACGTCCCGCAACAAACTCAACATATGCAACATCAAATTCTCCATCAGACCAGTCAACACCATGACCCAAGGTCACCTTATAAGCCAGTATACCCAGATATGCTGAGGACCTCATCCCATGCACCACATTTTTCTCCCCCTACTGTCCACACACCATATCAACATGTACCTGTGCCTCAGCACATGTACAGCAGTTGTACACCACAACAAAGCCTCTACCAACAACAAAGAAATATTCCTCTCCAGCAACATGTAGCAGCAAACTCATACCCAGAGCAACAAGGAAACAACCTCTCTGCTGCACCATTACCAGTATATAATGACATATTCCAGATTCCTCCAGAATATCAGCGTCCACCACAGCCTGTCCAGCATCAGCCTTATTACCACCATCAGCAGCAGTTTGCAAATTCTCTGTCTGGCTTGAGTAATGGACACTCTCTTCCATACCCACAGAGACAACCGGTGATTAACACGACAATCCAACAGCCCACTGGGCATGGTACAGACGCAGTATCGTACCTTCAACACCCACAACAATTTGTACCACCATACCAACCTCCACCAGTGAGACAAATTCCACCAAGTGCAAAGGTTGTGCAAAACCAAAATAGCAATAAGGATGTAGGAAGGCATCTTGAAAAGAAATTGCCTCCGGTGATGGATAATGCATGCCATCTCTGTCGGAAGAAACACGTGGTTCCCCCTGCATTATATTGTGGTGATTGTGATTTCTATTTGTCACGATTCAGACCAAGGAACTGATTTTATCATAGATTAAACTGCTGTTAGTACAAGCGGATGTTGTGTCACACAAAACATGATGCTGCGTCTGTATTTCACCATTAACAATCAAGTTGATTGCTGAGTGACTGTGATGAGTTGATTTTTAAAGAAATATTTTTGTAAAATAGTTCTGTTTCCTATCTTTTCAGTTGCATTTCATTGTATCATACATAGTGTCTTGTAATAGTTCATCCTTCATATTGGATTGAAAGTGTGTAAGATGTGATAATTAAGCCCATGTACAAACTAAAATTGGATGTCGAAGAAGTGTGATCTCAGTATTGTAGGCTCTAAACTGTGTGTAATTTTGATATTTTTTTAAAACAAATTGTTAAGAATGATTGAAATAATGTTAGTAAATCTTTATAATAATTAGTATGTGCAGTATATTTATATTTATATTTCTGTGTCCGGCAATGCCCGTTGGGTGTTCTGGTGTGAGTGAGAGTATCTTCTTCTTCTATGGCTCTCCGGTCCGTATTCGGTCCATGGCCTCCTCAATTCTCCTCTTCCATTCAGTCCTCTTGTTAGGTCCGTCTGTCCGAGGCTTTGATTGAGGTTTCGAAACATCTTCCTTTTTACAGTGCAAGGTTGTTAGCCTCGCGACCAACCCCCAACCTGGAGGACCAGGGTACCTGTCTTAGTCTGACCTCTCCCCCTCGACCAATCTGGCTAGGGAGGCTCTACCAGTAGCTCTTGGGACCACTGAGGTACTCAGGCCCCACCACCACGACAAGGTGCACACAATTTATACTCAAACCTGATTTGACTGCCAGAGCCATCTAGCAGTGAATCAGGAGACTTGAGTGAGAAATGGCCTCTGAATTTCGCTGACGAAACATCTCGTATCATGCTGTAAATCTATGACGTGGGACGCCCATTTCACTTCCGCTTAAAAGGAAGTTGTGCTATGGATTTTTATCACCCTTAAAAATTCATCGACCTCGGCCGGGTTTGAACCCACGAACCTTGGGTCCAGTGGCGAGCATGCTAACCACTAGTCCACCGAGGGTACAGAAATGAAGCACAAATAAGCAGGGTGTCTTTTACATTTACTGTAAGAAATAAATAGTTGTAATCTGACCTTTCATAGAATTGAATACGTCTTAATTAACATGGATTCACAATGAATTTCCTATTTATAGAAGGTGTCTTCCATTCTGGAAGGCAAGTGCTGCAATACAAAAAGTTCTAAGGGAAGAAGAAATACAGAGGAACACAAATGATGTGAGCCGTTTTAAATTTTTATTTAATAAAGACTAAATTGAACAAGCTGGTCACAGTGGCCATGTGGTCTGAGGCATGGACCTCGTGTACTTTGACACTGGGACCAAGGGTTCAAATCCCATTCAAGGAATGGATCTTTTTGTGTTTTACTGTCATGTGTACAGGTAGAAGTCTTGTGACGGGCTGATCGCTCGTCCAAGGAGTCCTATCGAATGTCGAAATAGATGAAGAAACCTCCAAAAGGAGGCCCCTATGCCCCACATAGGAGCGAAAAGAGCGTAAAGAAGAAAGAATTAAACAACATACGGAAATGAAACTTACACAGTTTGAAGAAAAGCTTCAAGTGAACAGAATTTGTGCATGAAGGAATTTTTTATGAAAGCCCCTCTGAAAACCCCATTGAATAGTGACCACAAATTTTGTGGAAATGAACTGAAACCCACAATTTGCTTTCTTAGGTTGAGTCTTCATTTTACTGCCATGTCAACATCCGCATTCATAGTGGCCATCACCGGAGTTACGGTACGTGAAGTCAAAAATTTGTTGTAAAGTAACAATTAATTATAAGCTTAAATTTTTAATTACTAAATCAACCCTTAAGTATGCAGCAGAATCACATATTGCCATTAATACAAGGTGGGATATGCGTCACGGGAAACAAACACTGCATACACAAATTCAACTTTAATACCAGCTGCGTAGAGACAATCTGGGGTCTAAGCATAAATGGTAGGATTAGCTTAAAACCTTGCATACCATTTAGTGTATTGGAATATAAAACATGCATACAAATAAAACTGCTTACACTTTGAAGGACACTAATGACAAACGTGTTTCAACCTCAAGAGGTCATCATCAGTGGCAAAAAACAAATTAATTCATATAATACAAATCAAAAGGGCTTTGGTTTTTTAACAGAGCATAAATGGTATGTACTTTACAAAAACCATAGTTACATAACACCTCACTGGACGTTGATTGCACAAGAGTTAGTGTATTAAATTGAGTACTTAGCTTTTATGTCCAGTGGTAGACCAACAATGGCAAACAGACCAGTGGACATAAAAGCTAAGTATGGGGTATTTAAATCCCTATTCGTTTATAATAAGGGTTAATAAGCTAAATGTTTTAAATGTACATATTTTTCATCAATGAACCATTCTTGTACATGTTATAACATTTAATTTGGGTATAACATATGTTTAATGCTTGCAAATGTGCATCTTTCACTTGCTGTGGCACAGGCACATAATTTGCATTAGTAGTCTTATTAAATTTATTGTGTACCAAAATGTCTTCAGAGCAGCATACCTGAGGCTGAATGTAATGATTTGTGCCAAAAACTATTTAAATTCTCAGGTAAAAACAAAATCCTCCATCTGTGACACAAAAATTAATTTTATAAAAAACTGATTAGTCTTTTATATTCTGATATCCTGTGAATGTTTTTTCGCTTCCTAACGGTTGCTATCATGTATAAAATATTAAAACTGCGACAAGAAAAATAAATTATAAAATATTTGAAAGTTGTTCATAAACCTGATATTGATTAATGATGTGCGTCTGGAAATAATATGGTTTAACGTGTAGGCAAAGAGCTCACCTTTCATAGCAACATATAGTCTTACTACGAACAGATGGTGTAAATGGTTGGAGTTGGCGGGCTTTGGTGTTGTCGGTGTTAAACCTGCGGATCTGCTATCAGGGAGTTGGTTAGTTAGTTATGAACAGATGGTAGACTGGAATCCATCCAATTCGTTATTCATTTTAATCTTGTCCATTTTTAATAGTAGTCTCTATGCGACATCTGTTTTTTGTTGTATGAATTCTTGTAATAGTAGTTCTGACTAGGTCACAGATGTCACTACGTTCATATATGCGGTTCCCTTTCCTGTTTAAAATATGATGATGTGAACTACAATAGTACACGATAAAGAGGATTTGTTTGCTATGTTTTGCCGTGTCAGTTATTGTGAGTTAGATACTCTGTCATTGAGAAATTGCGAAGGAACATGGAGCCGTTTTTGCCATCGGAAATTGCAAGACTTGTTTATGGTAATAATAGTTATAATTACCTTTTTGAATAATCTACTTTATAAGAAAGGAAGATAACTGCATACAGACTACCTAACCTAAGAGGCGGGAAATATTTATTATGTTTGTTGTATATGAATGGTTATTTGGAATGTTTGTAGGGTACTTGGTCGAAGCAAAATGTGATGATGCTGCTCAAAGTTTTCTCGAACACTGTCCTCACCTGTCGGAATGTTTGGCTGTTAATAAAGAAGGCAAGGGTTTTAACACAAGACCAGCTGGTTGTTGTCTGACGGATGTTCTGGATGAGTATTGCGAGATTCGCAGGATGGGTAAGTGTTGACAGTTATTATAAATTAATACTAAGCTTTTGCAATATTATGTGTTTGTTCATATGTAAGAAAATATAAGGAAAAATAAGTTTATGGAATAATGACAAGGAACAATTTTAGTCTGTATGCACACTAGCTAGCCAGTAGAGGACTAGACAGCTTCAGTTTTACAGTGGATGTGTGTTAAATCAATGTGAACATCAAGAAAAATGAAAATGACCAAGGACCCCTTTGGAAAATCTGATTGATTATTCTTTTACACTCTTGTTTGATTATAGTATGGTGTTTTAGTTGCAGAAAGGTTACTGAAGCTTCCCAAAAATTCAGCAGAGAAGCTACGACAGTGTGGCAATTTGATTGGGCAGCTGCAATACCTGATTGATGCAACACAATCAGGACAAACGTTGCTTGTCAGCATAATGATGCCACCACAAGTGAGTGAGGTGACTGCATTCATATTACCTGAGTTTAGTATTGATAAATAGCAATTTAAGTTTGAAGAGAGATAATGACTGTCTAGCCTTTCATATCGGTCAGTATGTGTGCACATTGCAGGGTTATTAAGCACTGTTTTAGGTTGGCTTAATTTAGATATTAGATTATCAAGTAATATTTGTGTATGCCTTGCAGATTTTTAATGTAGTTGGATTCAGCAGCCTTGCCACTGTTCCAGGGTAGACTAGCAGCAATAGAAATATTAATTTTGTGTAGTTTTTCATGAACATGTTTATACATGTGTGTTGCCAAAATTTGGGGAGACCATTGTAATGCGCATTCAGATTCCAATGTGCTAGTAGTGCAGTGATGGCTTTCCGAATATCTTGGTGTTAAAGATGGACTGTTTTAGAATGATAAAGAATTAATCACTATGTTTTGAAATGATTGAATGCATTTCTTTGCTAGATCAGTTATATATATCCAGTCTAATGTAATGATTGGCTACTTTTTGTGGTATTTTAGGTTATGTTAGAGGATGTAAAGTAAAGTTTGTCCCACTATACGCCATGTAGGCGTTTGGGGGGAGTGGAGGTATAGCTCCTCTCTTAACTTAATACACTTTGGATTGCTCTCTACTTTGTCATTCACATTTGTTTTTGCAAAAACAAAGTCATTCTGTTGTTAATATTGTTTTACAAAACATCAGTAAGATGGTCTAGTCTGGAAATCAGTGGCTACTGCTGATGGTTTGTTAAATCATTGGTTTTTTTAGAGTGAATACGTTTTTCTGTGAAGAGGATATCACCCTCAAGTTCTTTCTCTGTCACTTTAGCAGAAAACACTTTAGTGACATTTAAAATGAAGCAGTTTTTACATGTGTCTTCCTCTCATGTAAGTACTTTTAGATTTCAAGTTCAGATTGCAGTGAGCTGCACTATGTAGTCTGTCGGACTACATGGTACAACAGTCCAGAAGACAGCCATCTTCAAAATGCAACCTGTTATCCCCTTTTCATGAGGCTTTCACATATATGAGTAGCAGCACAATGTTTTTCATAACGGTGGGAAAGATGTTCACCCATTATACCCTCCTAGCATCCTTCTTAGCATCCTAAGTGGATATTGTAAAATTAGTGTACTGAATCTTGCACTTAAACTTTGCAGTTGAAAGACAAACCTCAGTGATGTCCATTTTAATTTTGGCATATATGTGATCCAGTAGACAGACTTAATTTCTCTAACTGGTATCTTCTGGAAGTTTATGACAGCAAACTTTATCCCGAGTTGATATTCTTCTCAGTTGATCTTTGGTTTTGTTTGACTGGATTCATGAACTCACAAAATGATAGAAAATGCAGCAGACACTACATACATCACACAGATAGTTGTATTAATACTCACTACTGCCATTACTCTCTACTGAATTTTCTGATACTTCATAACAAACTTACACTTCATATAAGATACATACAAAAACACTCAATGCTGCAATTTACAATTATTCATGTCCAACACGAAAGGTATCTTGCACAAATGTTGAGTAACATGCGATTTTTAATGCCATATTTTCAGTAATTTTGTAGCGGTTCTCAAGGTCCCATTTGATACTCCCATTTCTTGGGTTTAGGGTGCTTAAAGAGGCTTACAATGACAATTTTCAAGCCCAGCTCTAACATAATCTAATTTTTCTTCTTTGAATACAAGTACATGTTTCCAGTTTGTTAATATGCCCGTTGTTCTTACCTTATTGACCAAATTCTGAATGCTTTTCCTGTGGGTAACTTGAACTTCAGGAAATGGGTATGAAGATGGCTGTCTTGTGGGATGTTGCGTTGTGTAATCTGGTAGATACTGGCCATTCTTTCAGAGGAACTTATAGCTTGGAAGATGGGGCAGCAAACTTTTCTGAAACATCATTTGGTATCTTCCAGTCTACATGGTGCAGCATCTGAGAAGACGGCTGTCTTAATTTGCAGACTATCAAAGTCAGCTCTGAGTCATAGGGGTATGTATGTTTCAAAGAGTTGTGTAACTGGCGTTGGTGCCATTTTGACAGGCCATCTTCATAAATTTGGAGTTACACTGGAATTTGTATGTAGACTTCTTTAAACATTTTCCAAGCATTTTTTAAACATGACAGCCATCACTGTATATCTAAAAGTCTGTTCTACTCAAAACAATTCATTTCATATTTGTAAAAATTTCTTAATGTTGATATTTTATAAATTTTTGGAATCATATCAGATTTCATTATTTTAATACGCTCTTTCCAATTGAAAACTAATTTTTTTAACCTGCTGTCCATTCTGTGTAACATTTCATTTAATACGATGCTCTCTTATTAGTTCTTATAGTGTTTCTTTCACTTTTATGTGAATTCTTTTAATATTCAGCTGTCAGCAAAAAAATTATTTCTGATTCATTTTTCGCTCCTTATCATTTTGGGGAAACTAAAGCAGAAAACGACATGATGATTGTCTTTCTGCTGAACAGGAGTCATCTGCCCAAAGAAATAGTAGCAGTGTGACCTCTCCTGTATCCGCTCGCAACCGTATGAGGATACTTGGTTTTTCAGACGGAGTAAAGCGATCTGCTGTACGTTCAGGAAAGGACACAACACAGCATTGTTCAAAGGACGTAGATGACAGATTAGCTTCTATATCCAGTAAGTATAAGTAAAGTAAAGCATCCCACTACCTGCCTGTGCAGGCACTTGGGGTGGAGCGGAGGTATAGCTCCTACTCTTTCTTAACCTCGGCACTAGATGGGGGTGAGTGGTCAGCATCACGCCCCGGCCATGCTTTACCCCCGGGAAAGGACCCCGGTACCCATTGGACAGGAGGCTGGGCTTATATAGCCTTGAATTTGAGGTGGTGAAATGATTGTGAATAGTGAGTAGAGGGAAGAAGTAGATTTGGGCTAGATTGGGGTATTCTCATGATGCCATTTAGCCTTCTAGGTGGGTTATCAGTATTTTGGAGGAACATATCACCTGGAGATGATCTTTTCCCCCAAAATGTGGTAACCATGTGCAAGACTGTTGTTCTCGGTGGACTGGTGGTTAGCATGCTCGCCACTGGACCCAAGGTTCATGGGTTCAAACCTGACCGAGGACAATGGATTTTTAAGGGTGATAAAAATCTGTAGCACAACTTCCTTCGGAGGGGAAGTAATGCCCGCGGACCCATGTCGTAGATTTATGGCACGTAAAAGAACCTTACGTGCATGATACGAGATGCTTCGTAAGCAAAATTCAGCGGCCATTTCTCACCCAAGTCTCTCCTGATTCACTACTAGATGGCTCTGGCAGTCAAAATCAGGATTGAGTAGAAATTATGCAGAGGCAGTGGGCTGGTCACTCACTACTCACAAACGAACACGTCCAAAAAAGAGCAAGGAAACCTCCGAAAGGAGGCCCTATGTTCTGGAAAAAGAGCGATAGGAAATAAAAAAGAATATGCAAGACTGCACAGTATCACAATCCAGAAGATTACAGTCCACTCTGTGGGTACTTATTCTTTAAATATATTTGACTTTCTGCTTTATGTAAAATTTAAATGTAATTTTTTCATTTTTCTTTATTCCCTATCATTAAGTGAATTTATAATGCTGTTTCTTTTTTAATTTTGTTGCAGCCAGTATGTCACAGGTTGAAGCTACTCCCCTAGAAAACCTTCCTGGATTTTCAGGTGTTTTCGACACCCGGTGTTTACAGACCGCTCAAATGAGTGGAAACATTCGGACTGTCTCATCAAGCGGTCAGGCTGCAAAATGTGTACGCATTGATCGTGATGATTGCTGTTCGGGGACTTCACACGAAGCTAGTCCCTCGAAACCATCTACAAGCTCCTCTAGTCAGTGTAAAAAGTTCAGTGACAATGGACGGACATCTAAATATCAGCAGCTGTCACCTTGTATGAGGAACAGTTCTGCAGCAGAAAGTCAGAACAGTAGCCCAGTTGAAGATGGACCATCCTGCTTTTCATCACCAAAACGAAAATTGTGAGTACACTGCTAAAGTTTATACAGTATATACTCCTAAGTGCAGTTTATGCAACCTTTTTTCTCATATGTCTTACATTGACTGAATTGTTTTGTAAAATCTTTGCTATTTCCCAGATCTTGTAGAAATTTCATATGATTTAAATAACTCATCACAATTTCACATCATTATTATATACTTGAATTCACTTTGCAACACCAAAGCTACAGAAAATTTTGATAGCAAACATTTAATTTATTTCACAACAGAAATCCAAATGTATATGAACTAAAATTAGCTTTACCAAATTAACAAAAATGGGAACTTGCGATAAATTTTGAGTTATTATTTTGTGTTCAGCAACTTTGAGCACAATGTAAACTCACATGGCTGTGAACATCTCAAGAACTGCATGCGATAGATGTTCTAAAATGAAACGGCTCTGAATTATCTGCATAGCAGTTGAAGCAAACTGTGGATACTCATCAAAGTTTTAAGGCCTGATGTCTTTCTTTTACGAAAAAAATAGGTCAGTTAGGGCCCAACCTAATAAAGACTGGTTTTTATTTCTTTGTATAGAGAATTTTAACAATTCATGATCTAATAAAGACTGGTTTTTATTTCTTTGTGTAGAGAATTTTTACAATTCATGATATTCCTCATTTTCTTCTTCTCCTCATTCTTTATGTTTGTCAGGAAAGATTCATATTGCCATGTTAATATTTTTCAAAGCATGACATAGTATTACGTATGGTATTTCAATGTTGTTATTGTACCTAAAAGAGTTTCTTTGATGTTGTCAGCTTATGGATTTAGGAAATGCCTTGTGCTCGTGCTAGGTTTTAGTGGGTGAGAGCTTTTACATGAAATACAGAGGTCACAGATATTTTCAGTTGTTGCTGACATGGAGAAGGGGTTCTAAGAACTCTGGTGAAACACAAAATGGACAAGTATCTATATAAGATACTTCTTCTTCTTCTTCTGTGGCTCTCCGGTCCGTATTCGGTCCATGGCCTCCTCAATTCTCCTCTTCCATTCGGTCCTCTATTAGGTCCGTCTGTCCGAGGCTTTGATTGAGGTTTCGAAACATCTTCCTTTTTTACGGTGCAAGGTTGTTAGCCTTGCGACCAGCCCCCAAC